CTTTACAACCTTTTTCAGTGAGTAACAGAGCAACCAATTTGCATATAGCAAGATTCCACAAACAGTAATGTAACAGTGATGAGAGATGTTGATTTGAAGGATAAATATTGGCTAGGACTTTGGGAAAAACTCCTCTGCTCTAGATTGCAATAGTGCCAGGGAATCTTTTATAGCCACCTTAGCAGGCAGATGAGGCCTCAGTTTACTGTCTCATTTCCTGAAGTGAAACATTGCATCACTAGAGTGTCAGTCTTGATTTTTGGGCTCAAGCAGTGAACTGGGACTTCAACCCAGATCCTTATGACTCCGAGACAAGTGCACTATCCACAGAGTTATGGCTGGTAGCTGTTCTCTGAATGCATTTCACTGAAGAGCGGTGGAAGCAGATTCCTTCATGACTTTCAAAAATGAATTTCTAATATATATTTTGGAAATGGAAAACATTATCAGGGCAATGTAGAAAGTGCAGAGGTTTGAGAACAATTCTTTCAAGAGCCAGTGCTGGCATACTTGATTGAATGGTATCTTTCTGTGCCATATATTTTATATGATTCTATATGTATCCCAATTCAGGGCAATATTTATCCTTCGATCAACATAATTAAAGAAAGATTATCTGATCATTATCACTTTCTTTTGTTGAAGCTTACTGTGTTTAAACTACTTACTGACTTTCCCACACTCAGACTATGATTGCACTTCATTTACTGAAAAGTACTTTGGTATCTTCAGAGGTCCTGAAAGGTGATATCAAAACAAATGTTATAAAGTCATAGAATCAGCAATTTGGTATATTTTCAGAAATTTTATGGGATTATGTAAAATTCTTCTGAGGAGTTTTGTCTTTGAATATTTTTATTAACTCAAGCAAAAGTGACATCTCTTTCTCCTTTCTAACTTGTATTTTGACCACCTATATTTTCAAAAGATTATGAACTGAATCTGGGATGTTAAAATAATTCCTTTTAATAGAACAAAAGTTTTCAAATGATAGGAAGTCAATTTGCTGCCCTCCAATTAACTTCTGTTTTCTGTTTGGACAGTTTTTCCTATACACTATCTTGTTCACAAATCCAGTGTTTCTAGTATAGCTGAACTTGGAACTCTGTATATAATCAGCATTGTAATCTTTGAAGCCAGACAGTGCCATCCAGTATTTGCATTCATTTGACTGACAGTCCAACTGCTTGAACCTGTGGTCACTGAACTAATTTTGCTCTCAAGTTAAATTGATATGGGAACAAAACTCCAGTTTCAAAATGAGTAAGTGAGAAGAGTTTGGCCCCTTTGTATGAAGTGCATTGAGTATGAAGCATTGTTGCCCAGCTCAAATTCTAGCATCATTGTGGGTGTGTAAAATTATTATGCTATGATTTTGAACTGTGACTAAAACCAGATGTTCACCCAATCCTAGGTTATATATGGAACTCTATCCTAAGGGCTGGTAGTGATGTTGCAGATCTGTTACTGGTTGTGGTTGTGGTTGGAACAATTTGAAACTATTAAAAGACATCGTGTAACATGAAAGCATATTGCCTGAAGTAGGTATATTCTCTAAAGCATAATACATTAAGCAAGCCAAATGATAACATACACTGTGTTAACACTACCCACCAGGGAGTGGTTAAATACAAACTCCATACCTTACAATGTGAGTGCTTAATTTCATCCAAGTTATTGGAAGGTTATGCTGCACGATAATGACAAATAAGGACTTGGAACTCTGGAATGATTTCAAATACATCTGACTATACAACAGAATTGGCAGCAACCTCTGGGAAACTACTAAAGCGGCGAGGAGAATTATGTTAAAAGTATTGATGCTGTACATCACATACCTGCTATTACAAAAGGCAAAATACTGAAGAGGCTGGAAATCTAAAATAAAATCAAAATGTTGGAAATACTCAGCAGGTCAGTCAGTATCTGAGAGAGAGAGAAAGAGGAAATGCATAAAAGTTAATGGTGCCTCTCCTGGGTGGATTCAGAGATCTGTGGCTAGTGCCACCAGAGCGGCTACCTGTATGTATCCTGCCTCTCCAAGTTCATTTCTGTGCTTGCTGATCTGCACTAGCTCCGGATTAAACAAGGCCTCCATTCTAAAATTCTGACCCTTGTTTTCAGATCCCTCCATGATATCAGTAATTATGGATTTTCTCCTCTAGTACCTCAACCTTAAATATTTATGCTTCTCTAAATTAAGCCACCTTAATATCCATGTTTTTAATTGCTTCACCATTGGTGCTCATACTAATCGGTCAGCTACTTGGACCTTAATCTCTGGAATCCTAAATTAATTCCTCATTGAAACCTTTCCTACTGAAGCCTCTCCACTTTTCTTTCCTAATTTTATATTTTCCTTAAAGCCTACCTCTTCAATCAAGCTTTTGGCCACCTGCTCCAATATTGGCTTTTGAGGTGCAGTACAAAGTCTAGTGTTATGATTTTCCCATGAAGTACTTGAGACATTTGATTATATGACATGTGCTGTATAGAGCCTTCATCATAATACTTATTGATCTCCCTTCTTCCATCTCCTCCTGTCAGTCACTC